CCTACTGGACAAATCCTAAATCTCATTCTAACATTCTACCTCTGGCCCTTGGGCGGAGAGCCTCGCGTCTGCTCCCCTTTCAGCAATGACGCTTGTTTTCTGTCTCCCCTTGTTGAAGCCAAAGTACCTGCTGCTAGTTTCCATGGTGACCATGGTAGTGCTCTTAGCGCCCCAAACTCTGATTTGAATAAACTGCGATCCAGAGGTTGACAGCTCTCCAAAGTCACCCTCCCAGGCAGGGATGAAAATGGAAGAAGGACCCAAACACCTTTCTCTCTTTCTCTTTCTCTCTCTCTCTCTCTTTTATATGTTTAAAGGGTAGAAAGGGAAAGACACAGAGAGAGGGCGAGCTTTCTTCTGTTGATTCATTCCCCAGATGGCCATAATGGCCAGGCTGAAGCTAGGAAAATTGGACCGTCCTCTGCTGCTTTCCCAGGCACATGAGCAGGGAGCTGGATGGGAAGTGGAGCAGTTAGGACTCACCATTGCAGCTGGGACACTGGAATTACAGGCAGTGGTTTAATCCACTCTTTTGGTGGGATCCACACCTGTCCTTGCCCAGGGTTATGTAGATTTTTTTTTTTTTTAATTTGCTTTACTCTGCTCTTTTTGCTAGATGTCTGTCATTTTCTCTAAGGCCTTTATCCTGCGTGCTCACAGCTTGGTCAATCTATGCAGCTTTTCCCACCAGGCCTCGCCAGTTTCCCCTCTCTTTGTAAATTTCCTTATCTTGTTTGTGTCTTCTTAGGGTTTTAACAAGTAGCTAGATTCAAAAAATTTCCAAAAAGTATCTATAAACCCTTTTTTCTTTTCTATAGTGTTTATTGATTCTGCTATTCCTATATTGTTTGACAGCATTGGCAATTATTTTAAGTATGTTAAAAGTTGCCTTTGTGAAGGTGTGTCAACAAGTTTATGGGAAATGGAATTAAAACATTGGTGCTGGGGTTAGATGCTACTTGGGATGCTTGGGCTCAAGTTCTGGCTGTTTCTGATTCCACATTATGGCTCAAGTACTTGGGTCCCCGGGATACCCATGTGGGAGATTTGGATGGAGTTTCTGACTGTTGGCTTCATGGGGCTCAGCCCTGGTTGTTGTGGACACTTGGGATGGGATAGAGCATCTCTCTGTGTCTCTCTGCCTTTTCAATAAATTTTAAGAGGATGCATTTATGTTGATGCAAAAAAATTTTTGAAACCCATATTTATGGGTTTGACAGAAAATACATATTCTGAAAAAAATGCATGCATTTTAACTTTTTCCTATATCATAACAGACTCATTTTAAAATTCCATCTTCTGGAAGTACCTTATACTTACTGCAGCTCTTTCTCACAGTAAAACAGGCCTTCTTCCTGGTGATACAGCCTTTGACTTCTAGAACAAATCTCCTACTCTGGGAATTTAAGGCACTGTCGCAAGTCAACAGTGTAGCTGTTTTAGAATACAGTGTTAACAGTTTCAAATTGTTATCTTGCAGTTTCTAAGATGTTGACATTGACTACAGTTTTTTTTTTGTGGGTAAGACATGGTCTGACTCCTATTCTGCCACAGAAAAGACTGAAGCAGCTCTCCCCAAGCCGTTTGCTCTGTTAGGCCCTGGAGGCACTGGAAAGGAGGTCTGACACCTGCCGGTCTGTCTGCTTCCAGCTGCCTACAAGGTGGATAAGATGGATGTAACCTGAGACACATTCTTTGTGGCTGAGGATAGAAGGTACATTGTGCAACAGAAAGATACAGCAGCTATAGGCGATGCCACGCCAGCTCTGTAACTGCTTATCTGCAGAATTCCTTTACAGAAAAGAAAAATAAACGTTTATCTTGTTGGAGCCGCTATGATTTCTGGGCTCTGTTTCTAGCTGCCAAATGCAAATCTTAACTGATAGCAAAGTCCTTGAGGAGTTTTGAGCAAGGGACTGATTCCATACCATTGTTGGCTCGGCAAGGACAGATTCTGGAGGGGGCGTTTGAGGGAGAGGGTTCTGAGATAAAGTTGGCCTAGCAGGTGGGGACGGAGAGTGAGGGGTGATTGAATGAGGAGATGACACATGTTCCACAGGGTCACCAATTTCGGTTAATTTCCCAGGACACCTCTGCTAAACCCTATTGTGTGGTGGTCCTTTACATTTTAGTGATGGAGTAATTTGCATGCTGCTATTGTCAGCCGGCCTGAAAGCTGAGGAGATTGGGGCGATGGGTGCTCTTTGTGCCTTAAAAAGCAGCGGGAGAAAGCTGGAAGAGGGAAGGTGGATCAGTGTTACAGTAAAGTGAAGCGATTCTATTTACTAAGCTCCTGCAGGCATTTCCAAGGAAAGGAACTTTTGTTAGCCGTGATTGTCTAATCTAGATACATTTGAAATGTATCCTTTATTGGGTAGTAACTGTAAATAACATTAAAAATGTATCATGGAGGAACTTGCCAAGTACAGATAATTGCATACAATGAAAGCTTCTAAAAGGAAGGGGAAAAAATCCAAGGTTCTTAAATTACCCTGTGGTTGATGTGATCACGCTAGGTAGTGACTGAGTTTTCACAGTAAACTTTTCATTTTGAGGCAGGGCAAGAATGTCATACGTTTTAGGTGAGAAGAAATTTCATTATTATTTACATGGGTTATAAAAGTAAGATGCTGTAGTTACACTTGGGTGTTACAAACTTGAGTATATGAACTCTCCCTGTTCATTCACGAGTGTATTCCTCAGGCCCATTGTCGATGGACAGGTACCTTAGTCCAGGCCCAGAGAACCAGCTGATTCTCTCAGAAAGCCCAGCTTCCTGTTCCCTGTGGTCCTAACAGGAAACCTTAACTCCAGGGCAAGCTCATCTATGAACCTATCTGCAGATTCAGTATCTCTTTACATCCTTAAACATGGGCTGGCCGTTCTAAGCTTCCTTGTAGATCTAGCTTGGACAGGTTCTTAGAAGTCTTATCCTAGCTACCAACTTCAAGGTCCCTTAAGGCAGTGGCTTTCAGTCCTGCCCCCTCTGCACAAAGAACTGAAGATGCAGCTGGCACCATAGCCTAGTGGCTAAAGTCCTTGCCTAGCACTCACCAGGATCCCATATGGGCACTGGTTCGTGTCCTGGTGGCCCCGCTTCCCATCCATTTCTCTGCTTATGGGCTGGAAAAGCAGTGGAGGACGGCCCAAAGCCTTGGGACCTTGCACCCATGTGGGAAACGCAGAAGAGGCTCCTGGCTTTGGATTGGCTTAGCTCTGACCATTACGGCCACTTGGGGAGTGAATCAATGGATGGAAGATGTTCCTCTCTGTCTCTCCTTCTCTCTATATATCTGACTTTCCAATAAAAATAAAATAAATCTTTAAAAAATGAATTACAGATGCACCCAGTGTGAGTAATTCCATCTCGCCATTTCTCCTGTCATATCCCCAACTGGGATAACATACATCTAAAGGCAAATGACTGGCTCCCAGGTTATAACCTGGATTGCCTGTTGCAAACTTCCATACTTTTGCTACAGCTCAACTTTCATAGTGGCATATGGATTGTCTCCTATTTAAAGTGGGGAGAAATCTGAAAAATGGTGCCAACAATGATCAGTATTTAAATTGCGTCTCCCTAAAGTCCCTGGGCTGTGTTTGCTACATCACACCAAAGCATGCAGTACAACAAGCATTTTTTTTTCCACTCTTTCTCTCTAGTTAAATAAATCATAACGATTGTCATCCACAGAGCAATGGTGTTCTCAAAACTGCTTGTCCAACACATTATTTGTTTAATCCTCCAAGAAGTTCTAAGAAGTGGCTTTAAAAACCAGGATTGTTATTCAAGGTCACAGCGGGTAGCTGAGCGAGAGCTCAAGTTCAGGTGTCACTGACTCTCAGCTTAGGGTTTGAGGTTTTCCTGTTGTTCCCATAAATAATCTCAGCGAGAACAGGACTGTGGCTTCACTGTGACAGTCTGCTTCATTCTCTTTTGCTCTCTGCCAGGCTACAAGACTTTATGGGGATTAAATATTTCTGGGCAGCCATGACTTGCCGTCTGTTGAAAAACGAGACTCTAATATCTTTAATAACTGTTTCATTACGAACCAAGGCAGGGTGACGGTCAGACCTAGAGAGGTGTAGGGGCCACTTGGGGTACCCACATCCTGTACTGCATCAGCTGTGCTAATGCACAATTGGGGAGGGGCGGGATGAGTATTGCAGAACTGGGTCCCTGTCGTGTGTCTGGGAAATCCTGAATGAGTTTTGCAAGCCTGGCTTTGGCCTCGCCCAGTTCTGGCTATTGGGAACATTTGGAGAAGGACCAGCAGATGGGAGATCTTTATCTTTTAGGTAAACCAAAGTTTAAAAAGAATTAAAAACCACAACAATAGAGGGCTGTTACTCAGTTTGGAATAATCCTAGAAATACCTATTTTGTGCTCTCCGTCTCTCCTGAGACACAATGGACGTTATGCACTTATTTTGGGCAGAAGGGACACCCTGGGTGCTACTTTTTGGTGAAGACTACAATTACCGTCAGGCATTCTGAGGCCGGGAATTTTTTTTTTTTTTCTTTTTCTTTCAGGATTTATTTATTTTGGGCTGTCCTCGACTGCTTTCCATTGCCACAATCAGGGATTTGAAAGCCGCATATGAACCAGCGCCCACATAGGATCCCGGCACATAAATGGCGAGAACTTGAGCCACTTGTCCACTGTGCCCGGCCCTATTTATTTCACTTTTAAGTCAGAGTTACAGAGAAACGGGTAGGAGAGAGAGACACACACAGATTTTTCCATCTGCTTCCGGTTCACTCCTCAAATGGCCACAACCACTTGGCAGAGCTGAGCCAGTCAGAAGCCAGAAGCCAGGAACTTCTTCCGGGTCTCCTACGTAACTACAGGGTCCCAAGGCTTTAGGCTGTTCTTCGCTGCTTTCCCACACCACAGGTACGGAGCTGACTGGGACACAACTGGTACCGCTATGGGATGTACCGCTATGGGATGTTTTTGCTGAAACTATGCCAATGGCGCGTACCCCGCAAGAATGCCATCAGTTTCCTGATAGGCTTGTCTCTAAAGCTCGGGTCGAGTTTTAGCTCCATATGGATTCTGGTGCTCTCAAACTCCACCTGCTTCCATGGAAGGTAAGAAGGTCACCCCGCTCCCCTCACCCACCTCTTGAAAGCTTGGTATTTGATTAGCTTGGGTGTTAACTGGTTTCCCACTCTGAGATGATTAGCCTAGCAGGGGACTTGGCTCACTTTGCTGGTAGGTGCAAAAACAGGAGTCAAGTGTTGTTCGCCAGTTTGTTTAGTTAGTGAGGAGTTTCATTGTAAAAATCAATTCCTTTGTGCTGTTGAAGATTGCTGAGGGAGGTTTTCCCTTGAAACACCCAGGTTTTCCCTGACTGGTTGAAAGCTAAGGCCATGTGCCTTTCGGGGGACTTCTCCTGCAGTTCCATTGGGTTGCTTTTGGTGCCTTGTCTCTCTAAGTTTGTAAATGAAAACTAATGATTGGCTTACTGTGTTATTGTCGTGACCAACTGAAAGGGAGGTGCAATTACAAATTTTATGGGTCATGATGTGCGAATGCCATCATGGAATTGCTGCAAAATGCTAACTGTTATTGATAGGAGTACAAACTAGTGTTACACTTCATTGGAGGAAGTTGATTGACGTGCACATGTGACCGCTTTTCAAAACAGCCTTTTCCATCGCTCTGTGTTCGCTCTCTCAATTTGCATCTTTGTAAAAGCACACTTTCCCGGTCAGCTTTAGTAGATACAATACTATTTGTTTTCCTTAATTGTCTTGCCCTCAGTGAAGTGAGCATCGACTTCACAGTACTTCTTACTTGGGAACACTGACAATAATTCAAAGTCAAGGACGTGTTGTAACACTGCTTCCTAAGCTGATGTCCCAAAGCCCGGGCCTTGAGTAACAGGTGTATTTTCTTCAAGGATGATGTGTTAGCCTGCTTTCTAGGGCCACTGCTTCCTTCCTAAGTGCAAACATGTTTTAATTAATCAAATTAGAATCAAGTCCTGGGCCCAGCACAATAGTCTAGTGGTTAAAGTCCTTTCGTTGCATGCACTGACATCCTGAATGGATGCCAATTTGTGTCCTGGCTGCTCCACTTCCCTTCAGCTCCCTGCTTGTGGCCTGGGAAAGCAGTCGAAACCTTGGGACGCTGCACCCACATGGAAGACCTGGAAAAAGGTCCTGGCCCCTGGCTTCAGATTGGCTCAGCTCTGGCCGTTGTGGTCACTTGGGGAGTGAACCAGAGGATGGAAGTTCTGTCTCTCCTTCTCTCCGTAAATGTGACTTTTCAATAAAAAAAAATAAATCTTAATTGTGGGCCTGGCGCAGTGGCCTAGCTGCTAAAGTCCTCGCCTTGAACGCGCCGGGATCCCATATGGTCGCTGGTTCTAATCCCAGCAGCCCCACTTTCCATCCAGCTCCCTGCCAGTGGTCTGGGAAAGCAGTTGAGGATGGCCCAAGGCCTTGGGGCCCTGCACCCGTTTGGGAGACCTGGAAGAGCTCCTGGCTCCCGGCTTTGGATTGGTTCAGCTCCAGCCGTTGTGGTCATTTGGGGAGCGAATTGTTGGACGGAAAACCTTCCTCTCTGTCTCTCGTCCTCTCTGTATATCTGCCTTTCCAATACAAATAAATAAATCTTAAAAAAAAATCCTAATTATTGTGCAAAAGAAAAAAAAAAGTGTGAAGTCCCAATGGCGTGATTTAACTCCACTCACTGTAGTTTTTTTCCGTTGTCATCTGGGTGCATCACTAAGGCTGGTGAAACAGCTGTGTGAACTATGACTCTCACATTGGTGTGTAATTTTGTGAATAAACATTTGCACAAAATTCAGGCAAATATGTATCTTGAAAGGCATTTCATCTCAGTTTTTTTCTTCCCTTCCTCCTCTCAGTAAATATTGGGCATCTACTGTTTATATTGGGCTTTTGATATAGAAAACATCACCCTGATCTCCCGTCCCCAAGGAACTCAGAAGTATTTGTGTGAAATCACAAGACAGGGTGTTTTGAACAGGGAACTTGGGTAACTGCTGGAGAAGCATTGCTGAGAAAGTGTCATGGCCCGAACATGCGCCGCCAGATTTCAGATGCCACTTGTAGCCATTTGGAGGAATGAACCATTGCATGGAAGATCTCTCTCTCTCTGTCTCACGCACTCTCTCTCTCCTCTCTTGCTTTGTGACTCCCCCTTTCAAACACTAATTTTTAAAAAGTAAAAGATTTGGAACAAAATGATGGATGGAAAAATACACATTGGCAGATATGCACGTTGTCATTGGTAATTAGCAAATTACACACTAATGCTGCAGTGAGAGAATGTCATACATTTATTGGAATGACTAAAACCTCAAACCAATCCAAGTTGAAACAAGACAAGATTGAATGCTGGCAAGGATGTGGACCAACTGGGACTGTTGCTCCTGTCTGGCAGGAGTGCCAGATGGGAGAGCAAATTTGAAAACAGTTTGTATCTTATGGTAAACATGTGTTTCCATATGGTCCAATAATCCTAGGTATTTACCCGAGAGAACTGAAAAACCTGTATTTACATTCTGCGGATTGATGCTTATGGCAGCTGTATTCCTAATTGCCCAAAACTCAAACCCCAGTTGCCTTTTTTTCAATTGAATGAATAAATGAACCATGATACATTTATACAGTGGAATATTACTCAGCAATAGAAAGAGGAGAAATATTATTTTTTAAAAAATAATTAAGTCATTTATCTTTAAAATTTTCTCCTATGTGCTTGATGTGGTAGCCTAGCAGCTAAAGTCTTTGCCTTGCATGCACCGGGATCCTGTATGGGTGCTGGTTCTAATCCCGGCAGCCCCACTTTCCATCCAGCTCCCTGCTTGTGGCTAGGGAAAGCAGTCGAGGACGGCCCAAAGCCTTGGGATGCTGCACCCGTGTGGGAGACCTGGAAGAGCTCTTGGCTCCTGGCTTTGGATCAGTGCAGCTCCAGCCATTGCAGCTGCTTGGGGAGTGAACCATTGGACGGAAGATCTTCCTCTCTGTCTCTCCTCCTCTCTGTATATCTGACTTTCCAATAAAAATAGATAAATCTTTTTAAAGATTTTTGTGGAAATAATAGTCTTTCCCACTTTCCTGTAGCCCTTGAATCTTTGTGCCCTAATTACCATGTAAAGATTGTCAAAAATTAAAAAAAAAAATAAGAGGGTGGGGAGAGAGAGAAGTCTTCCATCCATTGGTTTACTCCCCAGATGGCTGCAACTGCCAAAGCCAACCAGGCTGTAGCCAGGAGCCTAGCATCCCCTCTGATTCTCCTGAGTGGGCGGCATGGACCCAGTTCGGACCACCCTCTGCTGCCCTCCCATGTCCATTAGCAGAGCACCTGGAACTTGAACCAGTGATCCAATACAGACTGCCAATGTTGCAGGTGACAGTGTAACTCTGTGCCTCAGCACTGATCCCACCACATGGCATTCTCAGAAAGGCAAAAGCAAAGGAACGGAAACAGTTTGAGCAGTTGCCAGGGGCCTTGGGTGAGGGGAGGTGACGATTACGAAGAGGCGGTCCCTGGAGAGTGAGCTGGGCCGACATTGAACTCTTCCATATCTTAAAGGCAGTGACAGGGTCATAGTGCTGCTTCACTGGCAAGAGGAAAGATGCACACATTTTTCCTGTTTGGGGAGCTAATAGTGAGAAGGCTTGACTTCTGCTTTCTGATTAAATTGAAGTCATCCTATCCAACAGTTGAACATGGCCAAGCCTTTAGCAGAGTACCAGTTGGAAATGACATATTCAATGACCAGCCTAGAGGCCGGAGAATTCCAGCGTGGTTCCAATGGGGCGGGCGGGATAACAGCCCCCAAATGTCTGTGCATTTATGTCCAGAACCTGCCAACTCTCCCTCAGATGGCAAAAGGGTCTTTGTAGTTGTGATTAATGTTGAGAACCTTGAGATGGGGAGGGGCAAACTCAGATTATTAGGTGGGCCCAGTGTAGTGAAACAGCCCCCTGACAGCAAAAATGGAAAAGCTTTTGGAATGGCCGTGACCGAGTGAGCTGCCAGGGAAGAATGGCCACTCCATAGTGTAGGATCATTATGTGACAGGTAGATACGACTTCAAAGAGGTGCACATCCTGATCCTCAGAATCTCTGAATAGCCTGTTAGGTGGAAAAGGGGGAATGACAGTTGCAGATAGAATTAAGTTTCCTGATTTGCTGGCCTTCCAGTAGGGAGGGTAGCTTGGCTTACCCAAGTGGACTAGGTTTAATCACACGGTCTTTAGATGGGGAGGAGGGAGGAAGAAGAGGAGGCTGGAGAGGAGTGATGTGATATGAAGATGGACCCTAGCTGCTGCTTTTAGGGATGAAGAAAGGGACCAGGGTGGTCTCTAGAAGTTGGAAAAGGCAAGGAACAGATTCTCCACCGGAGCCTCTGGGAAGGACACCTTGATTTTAGCTCATCTAGACTCTGGCTGGAGTTCTAGCCCAAAGTACTAAAAGATAGTAAATGTGTGTTGTTTCAAGCCACTCAGCTGGTGCAACTTGATGTAGCTCCAACGGGAGACTAAGACACAGGGAGAACGCATTGTTCTTCAATGTGAGAGGAGAATGTGAAGAGAAGGGAATTGCTAGCTTGGCTTCCTGCCTCCTGTGGGTGATCTGTTACCCACTTTCAGAATCATTCTCTGAAGAGGCTTGGATGTGGTTTGTTTCTCCTGGGTCCTTTTGCTGGTGACATGGTGGTGCTTAGAGGTGCTTAGGCCTTGCTAGGGGCACTGCTCCGAGAAGTAGCCCTTGTAGGTGTTTGAGCTCACAGATGGACATTGGATCTACTTGATGAGACATGCCCTCACCTCACACTGGAGTGCCTCATTTGGGTTCTGATTCTGTCCCTGACTCTGGGTGATGCAGGCCCTGAGAAGGCAGTGGTGATGGTTCAAGTAGTTGGAATTCTGCTACTTGACTGAGTTCCCAGCTGAGTCCTGGTCGTTTTATGCATTTGGAGACAGAACCAGAGGAGTTCCAGTGGAGACTGACCTCTGTGTGTCTCTCAAATAATAAATAAATTTTTGTGGCAACCCACTTGGCGAGTTCCCGTTGGGACTGTCATTTCTTATGTGTGCCCTGCCAG